TATATAAGCAAGGCGCTGCAATGCTGCACGGACGGTCTCGAGGAGCTTGACTGGCGGGCGGGGGGCTTGGCAGCTCCCGAAGGACGCCAGATACCTTCATACCAGTAGCTGCCAAGGAGGGTTTCTATCCTCGGATTTCCTATGACGGGAGATGTTGATGCTTGGGGGTTTGAGATGATTCCTAGGCAGTGTCCCTGAACCCCATTGTAGAGAAGCCGAGGCGCGCGCGGCTGCTGTGGACGCAATGGTGGCTGTAGCGAAGCCACAAGGTCAAGGGTTTGGGGCTTCAGGGTTTAGGGTTACTATAGGGGCTCAAATAGTTACCTATACTATTTTGGGGGTTCCTTATTATAATTCTAGTATAATCTACCCCAAAACCCTAGTCTAATTATTAAGGCCCCTACATTACAGTGAATTCAGCGCTTCAGGGTTTTAGGGGTTGAAATAGGGTTCAGGGCTTTTTCCGGCTTTAGGGTTTAGGGTCAGAGTTGCTTCTGCAAGATAGTTGCTGAAGGCGGTTCCGCGGATAAAGCCCCTAAGCCCTGAACTCTAACACTCCTACGGTTGATGGTAGAAATTTCGCATTACCCATCATAAGGAATATACCATAATCCATAGTTTGGGGTCCTTAAGGTAATGATTTATATCATCAACAGTAGTTCCTAAACGCTTCAATCCCCAAGCTCTCGACCCTGCGTCTTTTTCTGTTGTTGGTTTAGGTGCTGTTGCAATCGTTTTCATGTGCATTGATTGCGTTTAGAATGCGATATACCTTGGCTGCTGGCGAGGGCGAGCCAGCTGGCAATTCCGAGAGCGAGGACAGCTCTACGGAAAGCGCTGGCGACAGCATCTCTTCTGTGAGTGGCGAGAAGGATATCGAGGGAGCAGGCGCAGAAGAAGCCGTGAACACTGTTCTGCGGCTCCAATCGCAGGGACTGACCGTTGAAGGGAACTTCAGCAACATCGTGATGCCCCCTGTTCCACAAGCGCCGTTTGGAACGGTGCTTTCCGGTGATGCTTCCAGATGAGGGCCAAAACCTTCGCAGGGCACCGATTCAAGTAGTCAGGCTAGAAACTGCTTGGGGGCAGAAATCATTCTAACCCTGCCAGAGGCTGGCTCAGTCTTCGCCCAAGCGAAAGGTTCCAAGTGAACACTCCACATGTGAGGCTTCGTAGTTCTCTAAATAAGGGCCCCCTTTTCGGGGTTCTATCTGGCTAATTATCCAAATTAGGGTCCGTTTTTAGGTCCCCCAAAATAGTACGGCACCCTTATTGCGAAGTGCCTTAAAAGGGACCCTAATATGCAGGCCTGCCCATGTACCGTTCTTGTATGCTGACGATGGGGTCAAAGCTTCTTATAGAGGGATACCTGAACCCTAGGCCCTAAATCCAAGCCTTAAGCGCTGAGCCCCAAGCCCCTAAATTCTAAGCCTTAAATCCTAAACCCCGAACCCGAAACCCTACACCCCTAAACCCCTAAAGCCCTAAGCCCCCAAGCCCTAAGCCCTATAAACCCTCTGTGGGAAATCGCCAGGCGACGAGGAAGCCATGCGTCTTGCCGCGAGCATGCTTGCCGGGCCCATCACTAAGCCCCTTTCCGCCTCGGGTTTAGGGTTTAGGGTTGGTAATGTAGGGGCCTTGATAGTTCGAATAGGGTTTGGGGCTCCTTATCATAATTATAGTATGATATACCCTCAATCCCTATTCTAGTTATTAAGGTCTCTGTATTTGGGGTCCGTTAAGGGCTCCTGTAAGGGTTCCTTTAAGGGTTCGCTGAAGGCTCCTTTTTTAGCTGCTTTGAGGGTTCCTGTGAGGGCTCTTTTAAAGCGCTCAGGGCTTAAGGGTTTACGGTTTGCGCTTTAGGTGGGTTCGGGTTTTTGCTTGCAGGCTTCAGCAAAGTCCTAGCAGTCAGAGATTGACTGGTTCGTCGATTTATTGTCGAAGAGATTCGACACAAAACAGATTATTGGCGTTTAGGCTGTTCGGCAGTTGAGAGTTTGCTGTTGGGTTCAGGGTTACCAGTATCGTCGTCACCAGCAGCCGTATCATCTTTGCTGCTGATACCTCCGACATTTATGGAGAATTAATGCAGATCAAGCTTTGGGATTTGCTATCTCGTAGAGGCCACTCGCCCATTCAGTAGGTTACTGGGCGATGATTCCTGTAATGTTGAAACGGAGTTTGCGAAACATCGGCACATCATACAGGAAACTTTGATGGTCTTATATCGAATGGTTGTTTTCAATCCCTATATATTATTAATATAGTGGTCTTAATTAATTCAATAGGGTTTTGGGGTCCCTTATACTTTATAAACGGAAGCCCCCAAACTAGAACTGATGGTAATTATTTAGGCCCCTATAGTAATCCTTAATCCCAAACTGGGTTTAGCGATTTTACTGACTGCAGTTAGTGTTCCGAAGAGTGTAGTGTTCAAGAGTACGCTGCAGGTTTCACCACCCATAAGGGGGGGTTTCCGAAAATAGTGTACCCAAATATAGTACCCTAAATAGTAAGATCCTTTTTATA